TTTTTTTTTTTTTTTTTTTTTTTTTTTTTTTTTTTTTTTTTTTTTTTTGATCCGTATGTGTTTTTCATATACCTTTTTTATAATTAAAATAATTATCAATTTTTTAATTTTTTTAAATTAAAAATAATGAAATATGAATTTTTAAGTTATATTGACATACATATATTTAGTTAATTTTTATTTTATGAATTTTTAAATTATATTGGTTTACATTTTTAGCTACTCATTTTTTATTTTATGAATTTAGTTATAATTTATTTTACTTTTTAATATTATTATTATATTATATTTTTCAAAAAATATATTTTTAATTTATTTAAAATGAATTCAAAAACACTTGAAATTTTAAACTTGTTAGATGAAAAATCATTTAAGCAGAGTGAAAAATTAATTAATGTTGGATTAAAAAGTAAAAAAAATGAAAAGATATATTTACTTTTAAGATGTTTACTACATTCTTATGTTAATGAGATTGAGGAATGCAAACAAATTTTAGATGAAGTGGACATAGATATTCTTGATGAAAATGTATTTTTTATTTTAGTTAATATTTATACAAATTTAAATAATGGGGATAAATTAATTAATTTATATGAAAAAAAATTAAAAACATTAGAAGAAAATAATAAGAATAACACAAAATTTGTAAATAAAACAAAATTAGATATAGAAAAGATTTTAAAAAATTTATTTGAATTTTGCCTTAATATAAGTTTTTTTAAGAAAGGCAGTAACATATCATTAAAATTATATAAAAACACCAATGAATCAAAATACATATTTTATAACACATATTTACTGTATTTGAATAATTCTAATAATAATATTCAGGTTTATAATTTATGCTTAAATTTTTTAAAAAATTATAAATATTTAAATAATGGGAAAATAACTGAAAGTTTTTCTTTTTTTTTGATATTCTTTTTTTTAAACATAAAATTGAGAAATTATAATGAATGTATAGAAATAAATGAATATGCAAAAGCAAATAATTTTTTTTTACATCCATTACAGTATAACATTTATAAATTATACATATATTTTATTTTTAATAAATTAAAAGAATACATAAATATATTAATTCATTTAATTAAAGAAATACCAGAAAATACTGATTATTATATTTTATATATGGATACCATCATATATTTATTAAATAAAAATTCCCTTAATGATTTAGTGGATGTTTTTAAATATTACAAAAACGATTTAATGTATTTAGAATTTTTTCAAAAGTGTCTTATAAATTATTTTACAACAAAAAATAAAGCATTTCCAAAAAATATTTATGATTTTTGGAATTGTTTTTTAGAACCCAATAATTCACAAGACTTTTTTAAAGAAATGATAAAATACGTAATTTTATTATATGAAGAAAATAAAGGAAAAAATTCATTTGAGGATATAATAAGTAAAATAGAATTAGATATTGAATATTACAAAAACGATATTATGAATATATATACGAAATGTGATGTTAGAGTATATTTATACATGTTTTTTTTATTTTTATTAAAGGAAAGCAAAAATTATAATTTATTTTATTCCATCAAAAACCATTTGAGTTTTTTCAGAGATGATATGATAATAATTTTGGTAGTTTTTATAAAAATGGTTTTGAAAATGTTATACCCATCTATTAAAAATGAGTTAAAGAATTTAAAACATTTAAATAAGAACGAAAAGGAAATAAGAAAAAACATAAAAAAAAAAATTTTTCAATACTACAAGCAAATATATAATTTTGAAAAATTATTATATTTATTAAATAAAAAAGATATTGTTGATTCATTCAATCGATTTTTTAATGTTTTTGTGCAAATCACTAATAATATGAATGTGAGAGATGATAATGTAGTTATACTTTTGGTTGAAATGGCTTTATATTTAGATAAAAATAATATATGTAAAAATGTGGATAGATGTAATATTAATGATATTCATTATATTCATAACTTTTATAACACGGATAATTCAAACACGGATGATTTTAAAATCTTTTACGATCATATAAGTAAAATTGATGATTATGATAATGAGATTGATGAAAATGTATCAAAATATCACTTTGAAAATTTTCCTAATTCCTTTGCAAATATATATGAAGAAGAATGTCCATTAATGAAAAAAATTAATATAAAATTAATAAACAGAGGTTACTATATTATAGCACTTAGTATATTAAAATATGCGTATAATTATCGTTTGAAAATGACTGAAAAAGAAAATAAAAAAAAAAAAAAAAAACCTATTTTAAATAATGAATATATAAATGTAATAGTTTTAATGATTTACCTAAACAACATTATTGGAAACTTCTCTAATTTTTCTACATTAATTGATAAGTTAAATATAAAAAATATACAACTAATAACATATAGTCCAATTTTATTTATTCATATCTACTATTATTCTTATTATAATTTAGTTGATAATTTATTAAAGGTTATTTTAAATTATTATAATGTTCAACAGAATAACTTAAAAAATTCCATATCAAAATGTTTCCAAAATAACTCTTTTTTTAAAATTAATGAAATTGTTAACTCATACTTCTTAAATTCATCAAATATTATTTTTTATTTTATTAAATTGTTATATATTTTAAAAAAGCAAGTAGAGGCGTCAAAAGGTGATTTTTATTTCAATTTATTTAGTAGTTTGAAAAACAATTATATTATAAATAATGAATATTCAACCAAATTCCCGCTGAAAAATTTAAGTTCAAAAAATAATTCTCTTAAAAATAAGAATAATAAAATAAATCATATGGAAAAAGTTGATGATTCCACTAAATATATCAACTCTGTTGATAATACTAAAATTGATGAAAACATTGGAAAAGATGCATATAATAATACAATAATTAAAAATGAAGCGAATATTATAGAAAATAATAAATTACATTTAAGTTATAATAATGACACAAATAATAATAAATCCAAAAATACTAATAAAAATAACTTTATAAAATTATTACAAACATTAAATGAAGATATAATTCATGATGAATATCCTTTAAATGAATTTTATTCTAAGTTGATGTTAGATAAATATCACTTTTTAACTATAGATAATCAAACCATATTAACTAAACTTAACATTCCATCATTTCACTTTTCTTATTACAAATCGTTTGATACATTTTTTTATAATAATATATTATATGAGTCATTAAGTAATATAACAGATTACGAGTTTTTAAAGGAAACAAAGGTTATAAACCCAATTGAAGCAAATAATATTAATATGCTTAAAGATATAAAAACAATTTACCCATTAATAATTCTATCAAATTTTTATAATTTGAAAGGTAGTATACACATAATGAATCATGAAAATTTATTAAATTCCAGAAATTTTAACGACATTTTACATTGTAAAACAGTAGGGGATTATCTAAATAATGAAAAAAATAACACTTCTAATGAAAAAATAAAAATTTTAACAAATTACAGTATTAATGAACATGAAGTAAACTTTTTTACTAGCTATAACACATATGTAAGTTTTGATAAAGATAATTATTTTTATAAAAACAAGTTCATTTTTAATAATCATATAAATAATTTAAAATTTAATGAATTTTCTACCACCTCTCCATTTAATATTTGCTTAACAGATTTATTTAATTATCCACTTCAAACCGTTTATTTAAATTCTATCATTTTAAATACTGTTATATATATTTTTCACAAATCATTTAATTTTTATTCTTTTGACGATTTAAAAAAAAAAAAAGTAATTAATAAAATTAAATGTTCTTTTTTATATTTAATATATATAATTAATTATTATGAATTATTAGATCATGAACATGATGTTTTTAGTGATGTTGAATATTTATGTAGTAAAAAAAATGAAGAAAATGTTTTTAATAAAATAGATAATACTGAAAATAAAAATGAAATGTATTTATGTAATGAAAATGAAAGTGAAGAAAAAGATATATGTAATAAAGAGTTAATTTTTAAAAATGGCTCTAATAATTATGAAATAATGCAAGCAGCATATCATAATGATTTGTATAGTAAAGGTGCTACTTTATATTATAAATGCTTAATATTAATTTTAAATATGTATATAAAAATAATGAGTAATAGTGATATAAATGATACTATTAGTAAAATAAAATTTGTATACGATAGAATACGCATTCATTTATATAAAGATATAAATGTTTTTAAACAAATTTTAATTAATGATGAAACATATCAAATCATAAATTTATCATGTGTATTTAAGCAGTATAATTATCTTATACATAATATCACCATTTTTTCATTAATAATTCAATATATATATCAAGGAAAAAAGAAAATTTCTAGTGAAAATAATATATTAATCAAAGATTTAATTAATAAAATTTATTCTTTATTATCTGAATTAAATAAAGATTTATATTCTTTGTTAGAAATTTTAAATGATTACAATCCATTAAAATCTTCAATTTTAGAAACATTTGTATTTGAATTGATAAATGAAATTTCTTCTTTTTATAAACAACTGATTTTGAATTTTTACAATATAATTAATAATAAAATAAATATCATAAAGACATACTTATAAATAGTATTTATCTAATTAAAAAAAAGAGAAAAAAATAAATTAATCAACCTTTTTTTTTTTTTTTTTTTTTTTTTAAACTTTCATTATAATTATTCATATAATTGTTTTAGTATATAAGAATTAATAAAATTTTTTTTTTTTTTTAATTCTAATTTTTGAAAAACATTCTGCTTTTAATATAATTTTAAAATTAAATATGTCATTAATGAACTATTATTTTATTTTAAACGTAACCTAAGGAAAACTTTAAATTTATTATTAACCATAAAAATATAATTTATGAAATATTCAAGTAGTCTTAATATGAAAATTTTTACTTTCTTTTTTTCTTTAGTTTTTAATAATAAAGTATTTTCATTTATTTATGAACTATATGAATAGTAATTTTAAAATATGATAAATATATATTTTAATTTATCATACAAAAAAAAAAAAAATTAAAATAAACTTTATATTATTTCATTTTTTTATTATTTATTATCTATCTTTTTTTATTTTATTTTATTTTTTTTTTTTTTTTTGTTAATATTTATAACATATTATATTAGAAGAATGTCATATATATATAATTAAAAGCAGTAAATTAAAGAATAACAATTTGAATATATAATTTTAAAAATTCTTTATCTAGCTAAAAAAAAATTGAAAAAAAATCTACATATCAAAATAACGGAGAATAAAATAAGATAAAATAACAAAAATTTATAAATGATTGAAAGTGTAACCTTCAGACAATAATAATAATTTAAGAAGATAAAAAATAAAAAACTATAATATATTCAAGTCACGAATAATAAAATAGAGGCATTTATTATTTCATTATACAAAAAAAATTATAAAAACGAATTATGAGTAAAAAAAAATAAATATTTCATGTAAATATATATTTTAAAATATAAAAAATACAAGTAGTTTAATTTATTTTTTTTAATAACATATTTTATTTATGGAAACATTTATCATTTGATTAATGTTAAAGACATTAAATAAGTGAAATACTCACATATACTATCTACTATATCATATCCTGAAAAAAATAAGAAAAATTCGAATATATATATATATATATGTACATAATATAAAATGAAAACAAAATAATATATAAAAATAGGTATAATGCTTTTTTCTTCTTTTTCGTATTAACCTTGTTCACAGTTATCTACTTTTTCATCTTCATCGAAAATATCTAATTTTTTAAATAATGACTCACTATTCTTATTTAATATATCATCATATAGTGGTATATTTCTTTCAATATATTCTTTGCTATTAATAATTTTTGTTAGAAAAAATCTAGTAGTTGCATGAGCACTCTCATATAATGTCTTTAATTTATTAAAATTCTGATATTCACTTTCTTCATCATCACTAAAGATTTCTTTTGTTTCTATTTCTTTTTTTTTTTTTTTTTTTTTTTTTTTTTTTTTTTTTTTTTTATATTTTTTTTTTTTTTTTTATTTATATAATTATCATATTTGTCAGTTTCAGATATATTTTGGTTATCACTAAAATCTATATTAGAATCGTTTTTACTGATTATTAATGTTTTTACATGCTCTGATAATTCACGTTTAGCTTCATTATTTATTTCAAAAAATTTTCCATAAGAATCAGATTCATATATGTTTTCTGATTTTAATGAATCTGATATTTCTTTAATATTTTTCATTGATAATTCAATTTTATTTTTCGGAAATAATTCAGTTTTTTTAAATGAATAATTATTTGAAAGTTTCGGTAATTTATTATTATCCCCTTCAAAATAAAATTTAGAAGAAACTGATTTTTTTATGTGATTATTAAAATTAATTTTTATACTTTTTATTTTTTTTTCGTTATTTATTTTCGACTTTTCTTCTAAATGGTTATCTTCATTTATTTCATCGGTATTAGCACTTTTAGACTTATCAATTATTCCTTGTAAATTATTTGTATTATTTTGTGCATTAAGGTTACTAGTGTTTTTTTCTTTTTTTTTATTGATTTTTAATTTAAAACGTTCCCCATAAAATTTATTTTTACCATTTTTTTTCTGAAAAAAAAAAAATTTTTTTATATTTGAATTTCCTTCATTTTTTTTACTTATTTTTTTTTCTATTTTATTTCCTATACTAGTATAACCAGCTTTCATTTTTTTACCATAATATAATTTTGAATTTTTTCTTATAATTTCGCAATATTTTCATCTTATGGATAATTATTATGCTTCTATTCAATAAGCAAGATCAGAATTATATTCTACATAGACAAAAAATTATTCAAAATATATATGGAAATTTTCAATATTTTCCTTATTTTTTTTTTTAAAATTATAAAAAATCAATAATAAAGAAAAAAAAAAAAAATAAAAATAAAACAATTTTAAGGGATTTCTTTAATCATTATAATAAAAATATTTCACTTTCTTATTTTTATATGAAAATACTTTTTATATAGACAAAATAAAAATTATATAACCATTTTAAATTTGTTAAGAAAAGTGATAACATATTTAATTAAAATATTCCTTACATTAATAGAAAAAAAAATTCAGAAAAAATAGCTTTTTTTTAAAAAAAAAAAAAAAAAAAAAAAAAAAAAAAAACATTCCTATATAACTAAAATATTTAAAAAAAAACTTCATAAAACGTTATAAAAACCTGAAAAAAGTAAGTTTACTTATTTTCTTTTTTTTTTGAAGTATGATACAGTCAAAATTTTTTTCTTAACATTCATAATTTTTTTTTGTTCTTATCTATAATGTTACAAAAGACACAATATATAATGCTTTTTTTTTGTCATTAACATTCATAATTTTTTATTTTTGTACATCTTAAAATTTAAAAGGGACTTGTAATATGTTTGTTCACTTTTACTTAATAATTAAACATTTTAAATTCTTCACATTAAAGAAAAATTTACAATACTTATAAATAAGTTATTTTTTTTTACTTTTGTAAATGAATAATAACAAAGGAAAAAAAAAAAAAAACATAGAAAAACATAAAAATTTCTTCAACACATTAAACATGCATATATAAAAAAAAATATTGCTTCCAAGTAATAACAGAACATAAACATTTAATGTATAGTTTTGTTAAATAATTAATTTCACTAATACATAGTGAATATATGTATTATATTTTACAATTTTCCATTTTTTGATTTTTTAAATTTCGATACTTATTTTGATTATTTCAGTAATATTACAATTATCATTAACAATTGTCTCTAAATTTTTATTTACAGCCGAATATAAATTTATTTTTGAAAAGTATATTTAAAAATAAACAGTTAAAAAACAAAATACTAGTAAAATTCTATATTTAATAAATATACACTCATAACAAATATTCTTGAAGAATTTTTATTAATAAATTTTTTAATATAATACCTTTATTTTTTATTATATAGAAATTTTTTATTTCATCAAATAATATGGAAAATAAAAACATTTATAAAAAGAAGAAAATCATAAATATATGTACTTAATATTGTGTGTTTATAAAAAAAAATTAAAAATACCCTTATAATTCACAATAAATAATAATAAAAATATAATGCACAAATGTTACGTATATATATGATAATAACGGACCTAGGTATAAATTTTTCGAGAAAAAAGAAATAATAAAAAAAAATATTTAACATTTAGGAAATTAAAGCACTTTTTAAAAAACATAAAAACTTTTCAAAAAAATATATATAAAGCTATTCCATTAAAAGTCTTTATTAAAGTGTCATAATCAAAAAAATAAAAATAAAAATTAGAAAATAATAAAACTTAAAAAGAAATTTTGAAATATGCTATATTAGGATAAAGTGTATTTTTTATTTATTAAAGCTATTAATGGAAAAATAAAGTAACACACAAGAATGAATAAAATAAAAAACTATACAAATATAAAAAAACATTTAAAAGAATTGAATACAATACAAATTTTTTATAATTCTAAAAAAAGCAGGAAAAAATTTAGTAAACAAGAATGAATTAAAAGTAGTTAACATATTTATCGAATTTAAAAAATGATAATTCTATATAAAAAAGAAAAGAATAATCTTCCATCACTAATACATTAAATTAAAAAAAAAATATAATTCTATTTTTAAAATAATGACTATAAACAAGAAAGAAAAAAACACAATGAATGAAAAGTAATATATATATATATATATATATATATATATATATATATATATATCTATTTTTTTTTTTTTTTTTTTAATTAATATGCCTAAGTGCAAGCATTTCTTGAAATACTTGATATAAAGAACTAAACTTTCAACTGTATTATATTACATCTAATTAAAAGTTTAAAAAAATCAACATTTTTTTTTTATCAACAAAGGAAAAGATTATAACAACTAAAAGATAAATATAAAAGTAATAACTTATTATAAATATGATATAAATAGTAATAATATTATGTAAATTCAAAATGGATTAGTAAATCATATGAGGTTATTATAAAGCAATTATCTTAATATTATTAAATAGACGTAAATGTTATGAACATTTTCTAAAACACAAAATAAAAAAATACAAAAAAAAATTATCTAAAGAAATTAACAAATGTTACAATAAAAAAAAGTATGATGAAATAATTTTAGATGTAACTACAATATTTATTTAAAAAGTTATATTTAAAATATAAAAAATACTATATCAAAAAAAATTACATAAAAAAAATGTGTTATATTTTTTTTTAGTTGTATCTTTTTTTTTTTTTAGATTTGATATATGAATGATTTTTTTTTAGTTGATAATATTTGTAACAAAAACTATTGAAAAATATGATATGAAAAATAAAATATTAAAAAAATACGTCTCTTTTACAATACATATATAATTATAAAATAGAAATTTAATCATCTTAATAAATATTTCATCATATGTTCCTTATTAATTTAACTATTTAAAATACAGAAAAAGTATTCAAATTATCAATAAATCATTTATTCTTAAATATATATAGGAGCTTAATATTAGAATGATTAAAATTATAAAAAAAAAATATATATAAATGTTTATAACAAAAATAGTGATTACTAAAGAAAATTAAATAACTGAATAAAATTAAAATATCATTATGTAAAATGATAAAGTATAAATTAAGAATATTGAAAGGTGAAGAAAATCCATTTGTTATATCTAAAAAGAAAAAACGAAAAGAATTTTATTTATACCTAATTTATTTGACTTAAAAATCTCTATATGATGAAAAAAAAAAAACTAGATAATAATTCAGGAAAATATGTGAAACACATGCATAAAAGGTATTAGACAGAAAACGTTCAAATAAATAGTAAAAATTCATAATTTGATTAAAAATCATTAAAAAAAAAGAGATAAAAATAAATAAAATTAAATTACAAAAAAAAAAAAAATAAAATAAAATAAAAAATAAAATTAAAATAAAAACAAAAACACAAAGAGTATTCATTATTCAAGATGAAGATTTTAAAAGATTATTACATAAGTAGCTTTTGTTCATGAGAAAAAAATTCAAGAATTTATTTTGATTATTAAACTAGTATTCTAAATATGATACAAGATAATTATCTAAGAGCACAAAATAAAAGTCATATTTTTTAATATTCTTTTTTTTTTTTTTTTATGTTAATTTTTTTTAAAAAATTGTAAATCTATATGATTATTACAAATAATTTTATTAAACTGAAAAAATACATGTTAAACAAAAAAAAAAAAAAAAAATAAAAAAATGATAATTAAAGAAATAAAAAAGTATATATATAATATAAAATATACTAACACTAAACAGAAATAATTTTAAAAATAAATAAATTTATAAAAAATGAAAACATTATGAATTTATAATCTTAAATGATAAAAAAAAAAAAAAAA